TGACAGTTTGTTCTTGTCTGCATGTAATGCAAGATTCCCTAGACTTGTGAAAATTTTTTAGAAAGTTTCAAACTAATTGTAATGATAAATTCATCAAAAAGAAAGATTATAGAAATATCTATGGCTCTGGCAGTATCCTAGGTGTTTGCAGGAAAGAATAGAGTTAATGTCCTGTTTATACTACTCTAAAGCAGGTAACAGTCCCCATCATGGTCATGGTGTAAGAGAAGTACAATGGCAATTTAGCCAGCGTTGCCAACACATGGTTTCTAATTGCAAGTGTGGTTTACTATAATAGCCCAATTATAAAATTACAGGGGGATTCATTCACTCAGGAAACTATGTGTGAGTGTGTTGCTGTGGTCATTGGCACTGGCCCAGGCTGTTTCCAGAGTACAGATAAAGTCTAGAATTGCAAATGCATAATAAAGAAAGATAATGGCTGTTAATTCCTTATACAGTGATGGATTTAGCATTAAGGCTTTCATTTCTCACTTATCAACTACCTCACTCAATCTCCCCAACTGGCACCTAGGGAATTATTTGATTTTTGTGTGTTTTTTGTTTGTTTGTTTACTTTTGTTTTCAGGAGAAAAATATACTATTATTATGTTGTTCAGGTCCCAAGCAAAATTTATTTCAATCCTCACCTGAGGATGTGCTTTTATTGGTTTAAGGAAGGCAGAGAGAGAGAAAGAGAGAGAGGAGAAGAGAGGGGAGGGGAGGGGAGGAAAATATCAATTGGTTACCTTCCATAAGTGCCACAACCCGGGATTGAACCCGAAACTTAGGTATGTGCCCTGACCAGGAATCGAACCCACAACCTTTTGTTGTATGGGATGACCCTCCAACCAACTGAGCCACCTGGCCAGTGCAAAACAGAATTTTTATGGAGTATTAGAGAATTGGATATGTGGGTTGAGAGAAAATGAGAACTAGGATGTGTGTCTATAGCTATAGCGGTGAATTTGGGATGAAAACTTAACTTCCTATGTTTGTAATCAGCCCTTTTATGTTTCACAACATTTAAATTGTTCAGAATTGAGCCCTTCAGCATAAAGTCTCAGTGAAAAAGAAATACCATACACTTAGTTCCTCCCTGGGTTTCCCCTAGTTTAAGGAAGGCAGTTGGACAGGAGTGAAAGCGAAATAAATAAGGATTTTACTTCTTCACTCTGGTTTAGCTTTAAAATCAGTCTTCTCTCTCTCTCTCTCTCTCTCTCTCTCTCTCTCTCTCTCTCTCTCTCTCTCTCCCCCTCTCTCCCTCTCTCTCTCTCTCCCTCTCTCTCCCTCTCTCCCCCTCTCTCCCTATCCCCCC